AGGGAAGCTGATGCAGGGATTGATGTTCAATTATTGTACGCCTAAACACAACTATCAATAACTTTGAAAATCCTGGCACTTTAATGAAAACTTTAAAAAACAATACAATAAAATACATTTCCAGATTTCAGCACCCACTGATGTTAAAACCCTCTAGTCCCAGCATTAAGCTCCGATATTTTTCCTGTGATGCTGAGACCATAGATGTGGTTGTGGGGATGGAGCCGGACCCCACCTTTCAAGTCGCATGCTCGGTATAGTGAGTACTCCAATGGCATAATAGTTTCAACAAGAGAACCTTACAGCACACTTGTATGCAATACCCCTGTTCCCTAAAGAAATTGCTGTAATGCCACATCCTGAAACTGTGATTTGAGTTCTGAAATCAAACAAAATGCACAATGAGAATTAGTCCAATGTTGAATGGAATGCAGTTGAATGACCAAGCAGGTGGAGGACATCTCCATAGTTCTCACAGTCCAAGCAAGCCTAGAGAAAGGGAAAATCTGCGGGAAGTGTTGCTCGGAGGAGCTCGGCAATCCCCAAAAAAGCGTTTTGGGTTTTGTTTTTAATCAGACCCAGTGATACTTGGGATACCGTAGGGGATGCTGGACATCGAAGGTAGGTGGCATCTGTAAGGCGAGCATCCTCCGTGATGCACTGCTGTTCTGGTTCGAATTAGCTTCACTATGGGCTCACAGTCACAATTCAACATACACACAATAAAACAATTTTTGGTGCGTACAAGCGTACAGCAGGTAGGCATTTGCCTTGCATGAGGCTGACAGGGGTTGATCCTTGAACACTGCCAAAAGCAACTTACGAGAACCACCAGGAATAATTGCTGAGCATCCCCAGGCCCCAAAACAAAAGAAAACTCAATTTCTTCCCATATTCAAAAAACCATGGCAATGACCCAAAGGCAAAGATATGCATGGTGTCAGATTGACTGAGCGAAGTTCAGAACGGGCACCCGGTTCTTCAGGTGTACAGTCAGGCTAGTTATAAAGCCGGGAACACAAGGGCCTTGAAACACATGGACTACTCGACATACCTGACAGATAAGGAAGAATGACAACAAAGTCAAGAAAGCAAAGCACAGGATCTATCCGTAATGAACAGCTCCGGGGAGAAGACAACCCTACCCCATGCCACCTCCACATCACATGTTCTAGGGATGAGAAGGGGATACTCAATGTCCAATGAGCAACTCAAAGATGTTGTGGATTGGAGGACTCCTGGGTTGGCCACATGCAAGGCAAGCATCCTACTTGCCCTACTATTGCTCTGGCCATTTCTAAAGAAATGGGAGAAAACGGAAAAAATGGGAGAGCAATTACAAAGCTTTCAGGATTAATTCTCGGTCATACAATGAAACACTCGTCCCTTAACCGTGCCCATTTCCCACCACTAAAAACCCAAGTATACTGCCATTCCACAGCCTCCCCCTACCTGTGGGGCAGATGATTTCCACATTCTTCTCTCTACTTTGATTACATTCAATATTTTGACACAAGACCACCATTATTATTAGGGATTTTACCCCAGCACTCAGATCTGGTGAAAACGCAACAGTAGACAATTCTTTTTCGATTGCTGGTTATAAATAACATATGATTTTGGAATTCTGAAATTTTAACAACTAAATCTGAGGGATTTCTGTCAAAACTGCTGGGTTCCGAGATTTGTTCCTGAGTCTCTGGGATTATGGCCATTAAACAGCTTTATCACAAGCCAGAGAGGTGGTTCGTGGCAATGACTTAGTATCTTGTTGGGGTGGGGAGGAATTGGCCGGCTCCACCCCATCCTGAGAGGCCCCATGTATCTCTTGAGTGTGGGGCCAAACCTGACTTTCCAAAGGCCTTTGGAGGATGGAGGCCACCGAGCCGCCAAGGGGGAGCAGTTGGGGGGACAGCATCAATTCGGGCTGGGGTGGATCGGAGACAGTAACCTACTGCAGGGTCCAGATGCATTTCTGCTAAAAAGCGCTGGGTTTCGAGATTTGTCTCTGAATCTCTGGGATCATGGACATTACGCACCTTGATCTCGAGCCACAGAGGTCAATCGTGGGTGCCAGACAACTCGAGGTTTCATTGCGGTGGGGAGAAAAGGGCTGGCTCCACCACCATCCTGTTAGGCCCTGCATGTCTCCGCACTGCAGTCCCAAACCTAACCGTCCAGAAGCCATTAGAGATGGCAGCCACTGAATCGACAGGCACGAAACCTATTTCCACCGGAAATACCCAACTTTGGTAACCTACTGTGGGGACCAGACACATTTCTGCTGAAAGTCGCTGTGTTCCGAGATTTCTTTCTGAGACTCTGGGATCATGGACGTCAAACAGATTGATCAAGAGCCAGACAGTTCGTACATGGGCAGCGACTCGGGGTCTCATTGAGGCGAGGAGGAAAGGGCAGAGTCCACCCCAACCCCATGAGGCCCCACATGTCTTGTCAGTGCAGGCCCAAACCTGTCTATCCAATGGCCTCTGGAATATGGTGGCCACTGAGCCACCAAGTGGGCTCAGGTGGAGAGACACACCCTTTCCCCCTTGTGGTAGTCTGTCGCCGGTAGCTCATTGCGGGAAGCCGGTGCATCTCTGCAAAAAGCTGCTGGGTTCTGAGATTTGTCTCTGAGTCTCTGGGATCATAGCCTTTAAGCAGCTTGATCAGGAACCAGAGAGACCTTGCCTCCAATTATATAGCTGAGCTGGAAATGGTTTGTTGGTGTGTCACGCACATGCCTAACTTTTGGCCGTTTACTTTCTTGGAAGACTTTGCCCAAAGTTTTTGGAGTCTGGCCAAAGGCACAGCAGCAATTCTGAGGTATCTGGAAGTCTGACGTTGCCATCAGGCTGCTGATGCACTCGCCTTACTGGCACAGATTGACCTGCTGGCGGCACCATACTCCCGGGAAGTAGAAATTCTATATATGTAAAAAAAAAAAAAACAATAGTGGGGTTGGACTCACTGTAAAGCGAGTAGGATGCTTGCCTTGCTGATCCAGGTCAAACCTCCCCAACCCATAGGAACCCAGCAGCACCACAGAATTGTTCCTGAGCTGCAGAACCAGAAGTAATCCTTGAGCATCAAAGAATCCCTTCCAACGTCCCTGAATAAAAAAAGCTATTAAAATTAATCCAAAGAGCGGCTGAAGTGATATCAGAGCGGGTAGGATGTTTGACTTGCACGTGACCAACCCGGGTTCGAATCCCAGCAACAATATGGCCCCCTGAGCTTTACCAGGAGTAATTCCTTAGTGCATAAACCAGGAGTAACCCCATGTGCAACGCTGTGACCCAAAAAGCAAAAAACAAAAAAATCCAAAGAGTAAATCTTCAGAGGCAAAATACCTCTCACTTGTCAAAACACGACCCAAAGTCCCAACTCCAGAACAGAAGCCAATGAAAATGACCGATCGCAAAAGTGTCCCTTACCTTTGGGGGCTGCCCGTGAACATATCTGGAGTTTTGATTAGTGTTATGTCCAGTCCAAAGGCTCCAAACAGGGTCCTGCGCACTCTCGAGTAGGGAGGAATGATATGGCCAAGACCCGCACTCTCTGCAGGCTCCTCACATCAAAGCCTGAAGTCCACGTGCCCACCCCACAGTGCAATCTTGGACCTGGATGTGATCGTGGCTGCAGGGGCCCTCAGGATAACGCACCCTCACCCATGACACCTGCGCCACAGAACAGTGCCCAATGCACCGCTCAAAAGCTCCACATCCCCTAAAGCCTGGATACCCAGAATAAGTAAGAAACAAGCGTGAAAGCACACTACAAGCTGGCGTGACCTGGCGCTCAAGTTCCCACCGGGATTTGGAGGTCGCTCAAGCATTCCAAATCCTAACACAGGAAAGACTGAAGAATGAAGGTTTACCTGTTTTTCCATTTTCAAAGTATTCAATGCTGCATCTTGGTTGATTTCTGCCATAATTCCCGCTAAACAGCCCCTATGGGCCAAGCCAGAAGCATAGTGAACAATAATAGAGTAGTGAGCCGTGACAGCTCTGAGCAGGGGGGTGTTTCTGTACCTGATTATTCAGTCACCTTCCTCCTTATCTTCATCACCAGGATCCATTATTTACAAGTTAACACACAAGCAATTCCAAGCACTAGAATACTAGCATAGGTGCAGCCATGGTGAAAATCAGCAGGTACCTTTCACTGACATGAGGAGAAGCCTGTCCCAAGCAGGCAGGCTTACTTCCCTCTTTAACTGCACTTTTTTAACACCCTTGACCATCGTGTCCAAAGGAAACGTGCTTGACTAATTTGTCCTGTTTTGTCCTCAGAGACTGTTATTAAGGGATCAAACCATCCAGTATGAATTTTTATATGTTTATTAAGGTGTGAAGGGTACATAAAGTTCTTCCCACATTCCTGACATATATGCAGTTTCTCTCCAGTATGAATTCTCATATACAGAGTAAGAGAATAGCACCAAAGGAAGGCCTTCCCACAAGTCTGTCACTGATAAGGTTTCCCTTCACTGAAATTTCCTCTTCTTAGAAAGGATTCAGAATGGCAGAAGGCCTTCCCACCACATTCCTCGCATAAATGTTTTTCTCTGGCGTGAATTCTCCTATGTACACAAAATCTGAGGCTACTCAAAAGGCCGTTCCAAATTTCTTACATGTATATGGTTTCCCTCTAGTGCGTATTCTCCTATGTACATTAAGTATTGAGGACCAACAGAGGCCTTCCCACATTCCTTGTATGTAAAGTTTCTCTCCAGTGTGAATCTTCCTATGTACACTAATATTTGAGGCTGTAGCAAAGGCCTTCCCACATTCCTTACATATATACGGTTTCTCTTCACTGTGAATTCTCCTTTGTACAGTCAATTGTAAGGATGAAGTAAAGGCCTTTCCACACTCCAGACATATCTAAGGCTTCTCTCCATTATGAATTCTCATATGTAGAGTAAGGGAAGAGAACCGTGTGAATGCCTTCCCGCATGTGTGACACTGATGAGGTTTCTCTCTGAGATGAATTTTCATATGTGCAGTAAGTCTTGAAGCTCTAGCAAAGGCCTTTCCACATTCCTTACATATATATGGTTTCTCTCCAGTGTGAATTTTCCTATGTTCACGAAGTGTTGAGGCTCCAGCAAAGGCCTTCCCACATTCCTTACATATACACGGTTTCTCTCCAGTGTGAATTCTCCTATGTACACGAAGGCTTGAGGCTTCAGCAAACGACTTCCCACATTCTTTACATATATACGGTTTCTCTCCAGTGTGAAATCTCCTATGTACAGTTAGTATTGAGGCTGTAGAAAAGGCCTTCCCACATTCCTTACATATATATGGTTTCTCTCCAGTGTGAATTCTCATATGTACAGTAAGTTTTGAGGCTCTAGGAAAAGCCTTTCCACATTCCTTACATATATACGGTTTCTCCCCCGTGTGAATTCTCCTATGTACACTAAGGCTTGAGGCTACAGCAAAGGCCTTTCCACATTCCTTACATACATATGGTTTCTCTCCCGTGTGAATTCTCCTATGTACACTAAGGCTTGAGGCTACAGCAAAGGCCTTTCCACATTCCTTACATACATATGGTTTGACTCCAGTGTGAATTTTCCTATGCACACTAAGTCTTGAGGCTACAGCAAAGGCCTTCCCACATTCCTTACATATATATGGTTTCTCTCCAGTGTGAATTTTCCTATGTTCACTAAATGTTGAGGCCCAAGCAAAGGCCTTCCCACATTCCTTACATATATACGGTTTCTCTCCAGTGTGAATTCTCCTATGTATACTGAGGCCTGAGGAATGAGTAAAGGCCTTTCCACATTCCTCACATATATATGGTTTCTCTCCAGTGTGACTACTTCTATGTATACTGAGGTCGGAGGATTGAGTAAAGGCATTACCACACTCCTGACATATATAAGGCTTCTCTCCACTATGAGTTTTCATATGTCTATTAAGACTAGACATGTGATTAAAGGCCTTCCCACATGTCTGACATTCATGAGGTTTCTCTCCTGTATGAATTCTCCTATGCATAATAAGATGTGATGACTGATCGAAGGCCTTACCACATGCCTCACACGCAAAATGTTTCGATCCTGAATTTATATTCATATGGTCATGATGGAGTAACCCTTGACTCACATTTTGTTCTCGGGGCTGACTTTTCTGGGGATTCTGTCCACAGTGCTGAGAACATGGGGAAGCTCCCCGACATTCCTTACACGTAGATGGGTTCTGCTCACGGTGACTGTGGTTGAAGGTATGTTGCTGTGACGGACTCACTATAAACAGTGCTCCTCTCCCTAGCAGCTGCCGCACTGGGGGATTTTGTGCCTGTGAACTGAGAATAACACACTCCAAGGAACTTTTTCCAGGAGAGGGCTTCTTCTGAGTGAGGTAGCTATCACCATTCTGATCACCCTCAGAAGACATCCCGCCTGTCTCGGAGTCCTCATGGGGCTGAGGGCAGGATTGCTCACTCGAGACATTGTTACACAGTGCAGGATCAGAGACATTCCACTCGGGGTGGCAGCTTTCCTGCAGAACAACAGAGGATCCTAATTATTGACTTATTCACTGAGTCTTCCTGTCAAAAAACTGAGCCCTTCTATGTGCTTTCACACATATTCACCACACAAATGCAATCACCGATATATGAACTGTCTTACTATAGAATAATTTCATGTTCCTGTAAGTTGTACACAAAATTGATGGATGCAGAATCAGTAAAATCTGTGACTTTCCCCCCTATCATGAAGGAATACTACTGGAAATAATTCTAGAAAACGGACACATCCATTTCAAGAGAAAATGAAATACATCCACATGTGGGTTTGGTTAAAGTTCAGTGTGGAACCTGTGATGCAGGGGTGAAGACTACGCTACATCGTCACGCAGCTGAAACAGACCACATGGCGATTGCAGAGCTCTCACCACAAGTGATGGCTTTCAGGATCAATGAAGTTTTTTGTTCTTTTTGTTTTGTAGTTTCTATTTATTGGGGGTTGGGTGGGTGGAAGGGCACACCAAGCAGTGTCTAGGATCAGTTCTGTGGGGCTATGGTGTCTATAAGGTGTGCTGGGTAAGGACCGTCCATCACTGTGCAAAGAAAGTATATTTCTCACTGCACCATCTCTAGGGCGCACAAATTAGCTTTCTAAACAACTACCACTGTCAAGCAAATCAAAACTCACAGTATTTTTCTACATGGTTGATTTCAGCACCTAATGAAGCTAAGGGTCCTCTACTCCAAGCATCAGGCTTTGGAATTCCTCCCCGCCAATCCCAGCCCTCCACCTTAACAATCAAATACTTGGTCCACTCCTGCTGACATAATAATATTTATTCTGAATTAGCAAATCTTACCAACTCACTCGTACTTGCTGACCTCATTCCCAAATCAAAGTGCTGTAATGCCAAATCCTGAAGTCGTGGTTTCCGTTCTGAAACTGAACAAAACATGCAATTCAAGCACATGTCAAAAATGTAGCACAATGAAGCCATGTAGTTAAGAGTTCATCTCTGTGGTTCTCAACGTCCAAAGAGTCCCACACTAAAGAAAAGATTCGATAGTGGAAACTGTGAGGATCTTGGCAATTCTACACTAGGTTTTGTTTTTGTTTCTGAGCAGACCTGGTAATGTTTGGGGAACCAGGCTATTGAACAAATTATTGAACAGGTCATCATCAGGCGGTGCAATGCACTCCCTGCTGTACTATCGTTCAGATCCAAACTAGCTCTGTTATGGTCTTACTTATTCGAAAGCCATGGAAGCAAATTAAAGGATCATTCTGTGATTGACAGTCCAGGGGAATGAAGAGGAGCTTGAGTGTGGCACAGACCCAAGAATCCAGAAGACCAAGGCCCCGGTATCAGCAGCGTGTTGCATACATGCTCAGGGCAGCCATACACTGCACAGGGCCTGAGCCAGGAAGGGTCCTCAGACACTCACCCGCACACACGCCTCTCCTCCCCGACCTCAGGGCTCCTCCTTCCAGCCAGGAGATCACCACAGGCTTCATCCCAGAGTGCCCTGCCCCGACAGAGACAGAGGCATGGATAAGTGACAGGGAAAAGCTGACAGGTAAATGCCCATGTCTTCCTGATATAACTGGGCAAATATCTGAAAGACACGAACAGAATGTCCATTTCCAAAATGCCACATATTTCTAGTTATTCGAGAGATAAGACCCAAGAAAATACCACAAATACTCTAGACCTGGCCTTGTGTATTGCCGACAGGGGGTTGATCAGCACAATGTGTTGTTGGGTTTTGTCTTGTTTGGGGTCTCACCTGGCAATGATCAGGGGTGACTCCTGACTCTGTATTCAGAAATCACTGCTGCTGGTGCTCGGGGATGACATGGGATGCCGGGGATTTAACCCATGTGCGCCGCTTGCAAGAAAATCACTTTCCTCCCTGTACTGTTTTTCTAGGCCCAGCAGCACATGGAGTTTCCTGAGCACCTCATGAACTCATCACGAATTTCAGTAAAACTAAGTGCATAATAAATCTGGAAATGACCAAGGGTGGCAAGAGACCCTTATTTTTTTTAAGCTAAAAAAATGTATCCAGAAAGAGATCACAGGAGTTTCTCACGGAAAATCCAGTTATGATACCCAATATCACCTAGGGTACCTCATGGCAGCCAGGAGTGATCCCTGAGTGCAGAGACCAGGAGCAAACCCTTATTCCTGCTGAAGTCTCACAAGAACCATTAGAAGTAAATTCAAGTACTGAAATAGGGCAGCGTCTAATGATTTGAGAGACAAGATATCAAATCCCCTGTGGTGGGAGAGAGATAGTACAGCACATAGGACAGAAGCGCTGCACACACATGTGGGTTTTATCCGAGGCAACCCATATGGTCTTGGAGCAAGGCCAAGTGTGGATCCTGAATTCACAGGCAGGAATAATCCCTATCCATAAGGAAAAAAAAGAAAAAGAAAAAACCTCTGACTTGAGAGCCAGGATGAATAGTACTGGGGATGAGGCATCAACATTTTAAGTTGCCAAGAGGTTCAGTCCACGGTACCCCATGGCCCCTGAGCACTCTTAGGAGTCATCCGTTAGCACAGAGCCAGGAGAATTGTGGACTGTGCCCCACAAACAAAGGCAACAGCAAAACCAATTAAACACACAAACGTTCGTGTCATACACAAAGTAAATTGATTCACCAATGGATGGAACTATTTAAAGGGACCTGAGCGATAACTGGGCAGATAGGGATCTTCCCATGGACACAGTAGAAACGGGTTGATATGAATCACCCCTTAGGATCTGGCGACCCCACAAGAGTAATTCCTGAGGACAAGGCTGAGAGTAAGGCCTGAGTGAACCCTAAAAAAAACCAGGGAGGGAACAGCTACTGCACGGCTGTCCAACATCCCAGCCAGTCACAGAGCTACTGTTGGACACACAGCTGCCTCCCAACCCCAGGGAGCCCACGCGGGTCTGTTCAGACACCGTTGGCTCCACACTGCTCTCACCCACAGCTTGCAGATGCTGGTAGGTCTCCAGCATCACGTCCCTGTAGAGCTTCCGCTGAGAGGCCTCCAGGCATGACCATTCCTCCAGGGTGAAGTTCACAGCCACGTCATGGAAGGTCACTGCATCCTGAGTCAGCACACGGAGCAGGTAGGAGTCAGAGTCTATCTTAGCCTAATTCCCACTACTGTGAGGCCAGGACCCAGGATCCTATATTGTCGCTGGGCCTTCCCCTCCGAATGAAACAGCCTCCATGCACACGAATTGCAGACAGGGCCCCAGAAATTACATAAGGCAGGTGGATCTGCTAAAGTGGGAGGACGTTATACAGAAGGTTCTTGGATGAATCTGCCGTTCCTGGTAACCCCAGGGCCAATTCGAGCACCACGGGTCCAGTGAGCACTGTAGAGGGGATCACCTGAACACAGACTTGTACGATCCAAAAGACTATCCCTGGGTGTAGCAGAAACCACTGCACGCTAACCGCTGCACCCCCACAGCACATGACCACTAGAATTGAGAACTCGACAGTCCATATAGACAACTATTCAGAACAGTGCATGGCATGTGTGCCTGTAGGAACTCACTGCTCAGGACCGCCCCAAATCCCGCTCAAAGAAGGCAGAAGTTTCTTGACCCCAACATCTCTACTGCCTCAGAGATCCTTGGCTCTTTCTCCTTGGGATCACAGCACGCCCAGAAATCTACACACAAGATTATGTGAACATAAGACTATATGACCGAGCAGATAGTCTCTCCAAAGTAGGAAGGACAAAACAGGAGAAAAGCAAGTCTGGGGGCCCAAGTCACTGTAGTTGCCAGGGCGCAAACGGGGACAGCACACCCCAGGGTGCTCTGAGGTCCATCAGTTGTGAATCCAGAGCACAGAGTCAAAAGGACAGCTGATGACAAAAACAATGCAAAGGAAACCGAAGCAGCAAGTTGGCGTAACAGGACAGCTGTTCCGGGGACAGCACGTAGGACTGCCGATCCCCAACATCCCATATGGTCCCACAAGCACTGCCAGGGGCAATGCCAGAGTGCAGCGCAAAAAGTGATAGCGAGAATCCTTGCTCTGCCACCCCAAATAAAACAGAAAACCCAAGATGAAACCTTTGGACCTCCAGCATCCCATTGGTCACCTAGACCTGTCAGGAATCAGCATTGAGCACTGAGCTTTGAGTTCTCCTCATGCACCACTGGGTCGGCCCCAAGGCCAAATAAAACAAAACAAACATACACAAAAGCAGCTTCAAACAGCAGAATGGGACAGTCCGATCGGAAGTCTCATCTTGGAATCCGTCCAAAAGAAACTCAAAACAGATGGCCCAGGAAGCCTGGGCACTCCTGGTACTACCTCATGTCATTCTATCCATCTACTCCTACCTGGGGATGGTTTATCAGAAGCCGCGTCACCATCTTCTCCTGTCACTGTTGTTCTAAGGATCAGCAGGAGGCTCCGAGAAAAGATCTGGAAAAGAACAGTGAGCACAAGAGAGCAGCACCTCCTCCCACTTCTAAGCTCAGACCAGCCACATCTCGGGCACAGCCTCAGAATTCCACCTCTGGGAGACAATGGCTGAATCTCCTCTCTATGCTGGGGATGCAAATTTTGTTGGCAACT